CATCAAGCTTTGATGAGAACTTACTAGAATCAGAACTAGCTCTGGAGGATACGTCCGTTTTACAGACTGAGATTCCTCTATGCTTGTTTGGCTGCCACGCTAACTTTTCAGTCCTGGGGCTGATGTCTGTCTGAGTGATGAAGTTGAAGCTTGGATCGTTGGCAATGCTAGCCTCCTGGCTAACAAACTCTACAAAAAAGGTAAAGGGCGGATACGGCACATGCTCTCGCCGCTTGTACGATGCGCCAGCTGAAGCCCACTTTTCTTGCAGACGAAAGGGGAGCTTCCGCACAATTGGATTGACACCTCTTGCTGTGTCGAGGAATGAAAGTCCAGGTAGGTCTCCTTCATCCTTAGCCGAAAGAAGTTCCATCAGAAGATCACTCAACTTTGTTAACTTAGCATAGTCTCGATTTCCTACCTTTGGAAATGTGTCAATGCGCTTGAAGAGAGAATCCTCTATTGCCTCTGTTGAGCCGTAGGTTCTATCAAGTCTTTCCCATATCATATCCAGCCCAGCTCCTGGATGATTAACATGAATTGCTCTGATCTGCTCTGCGTGTTCTTTTGACTCCTTGCCAAGCCACTTTAAAAGAAGATCCATCTCTTCACTCGCAGTCAAATCTAAGCCACTGGTTGCAGATAGAAATGAGCGTTTCCAGGCTCTGTAGTTCTGTGGCTTGTCATTAAATTGAAGTAAGCCTGTAGACACAAGTTCACGGCGTGCAGATATCTCACAAAATCATTTGGGTTGGGGCTGCCATAGTTGGCGTTAGGAGATATGGGATAGGCTGAGGGAAATGCACCACTATAGTCATTTTGAGATCTGAGATTCTGGGTTGGAGTAGCAGATCTGTGTTCAAATCTTACTTGTCGTGGCTCGTGAACATCTTCTTCCTTACAGATCTGAACTCCATGTGAGCTGGGGAACGGCTGTGATTTTGTTGGCGTAACACTTTCATGCTGCTGATGCCCTGTCTCTGATACTTTGCCTTGGTCCGCAACATACTGTTGTGTTCGTTGAATAGTTTCTAGAGGGTCAGAATCTAGTACAAGGTCACAACTACGTCTTTCACTATTGATATCAGCTGCAGCTTCTAGCACTTCTGCCTCCACAATGGCTGCAGCAGTTTCTTTCTTGTATTCTAGCATTTGCATTGAGGCTTCCAATTTAGCCTTTTCTAGTTTTAGGTTTATTTCCTCCTCAGCATAAGAAAGACGAGCCTTTGCTGCTTCTGCACGTGCTCGTGCCTTGGCTGCAGCAGACCCAGTTGATGATGCATAGGAGTGCACAGAAGGAGCGTGCGAATGCGTTTTTGACATGGTTGTTTCTTCTGACTTGGACTGAACAATTTCTCAGCGAATCTCTGCTTAGATGTGCTAATTGTCCATTAGTTGATTGTGATGATGGTCTCCCTACCATCTGTCGGCGTTTCCACGTTATCTTGCCCGCTAGGAAGTGTGGTTTCACTGTACTGCCTCTGCTATGGTTGGGCAGTCAGCTAAACTCCTTCCCCACATCAAGACTCTGACGACACGACTCCCGGTTCACAGGTTTATTGACACAGGGAAAGGTGAAACTGTAACAAACAGTACAAGGCATAATCACTGTACTTATTCACCATGTACATATATAACGATGAAAATATATTAACCCAGTTTTTTAATATGTCAACATGCAATGTTCATATGAATTACTTCCCTTTTTAAGTCAAATACAAACATCAAATTATGATTTTAACAAGTCTTACTATAATGAATGCCTCCAATTCGTTTGTCATTCCCCTTTAACTAGCTCCATAAGCGATTGCTAGCTTAAACTGCATAAGATTGGTTTTATCATTAAACTTACAGAAAAATGAACTTACTTGAAAGAAAGTGGTCTATACATGCACATAAAATATAAAACAAGTCTATACATACCCACAATGCTACCAAAGGCATAGGATGCATGTGGATGCCACTGGGTTTATCTGGCTAAGGCCACCATGCTGCACATGCCTTCTCCTTAATTCACAGACTTACTTCCTGTTTACCGACGACATCATGTCCTATTACAGACTACAGGTTTTAAGGTGGCACCAGAGAGTTACAATTGCATATTTAAACATTTACCAAATCCAAGAAAACAGTCTACCTTAAAAACTTTTGATATCAGAACAGCAAGTGTGGACGCGTGTAGAGGAAGTCTGGGAACATTTTTGTTTTTCTTGCTCTTTTTAATTAATTAATTAATTAATTAATTAATTAATTAAATGTATTTATTTCTATTTATTAATTACCTACTAGGTAGAATTTGTGCCAGGTCCGAATCCCATAACACTTGTTTGGAAGGTTATACAAATATTAGACATTATTAGTCGGTAGTATACCTCATCATGCAGCTGCTCACTGAAGCCATTATTAACCTCCTAAGACCCAAACTCTTCCACGACATGCATTTTTAATTTCTCTTTGATATTTCGGCATATTGGGGCCCGATGAATGTAAAAACAAAGAATTACCAGATTTTTTTTAACCTTATTTTTGTTTTTAAAAAAAATAAGAGACACATATGAGGATATTCGTTTAAAATTTTGATAGAACAGTATCAGTATAATGTCCTCGTAAGTGGATATCAGACCCATGTAGAGCAAAATTGAGTATTTTAGTCTAAATAACCCAAAATGCGATGTCCACATATGTGGACGCCAGGTCCTAGGAGGTTAAGGAAGGGAAACCGGAATAAAAGGCTTAAATGTGCAGATGACACAAGAACTGAACTGGAAATCAGTGGCTACAGGTCTTGTGAAGCGATGAATGTTTTACTGAAATTGCCAGTAATAAATGTGCCATGCATAGCCATCTCAAGTGTTTACAGAGAGTTTTTTTAAAAATCCAGTTAGTGCCGGTTCTCTGGGTGAAAATGCCTTGTTGATGCTAGAGGTCAGGGGAAAATGACCAGACTGCTTCAAGCTGACAGGAAGGCAAAAATAACTTAAAAAAAAAACACACAGTTAAGTAACCACCAACATATGAAGAGCATCTCTGAATGGACAACAGGTCAAACCTTGAAGCAGATGGGCTACAGCAGCAGGGGACCCCACCAGAGGCCTCACCTGTCAACTAAGAACAGGAAACTGAGGCAACATTTTACACCAAAATTGAACAGTTACTGAAAAAAATGTTGCCTGGTCTGATAAATCTCATGTCAAATGCAACATGAAAACAAGGATCCTTCCCTGTATAAGTTGTTTAAGCTGCTGGTGGGAGTGTAAGGATGTGAGGGACATTGTCTTGGCATCTAATCACTGCATAACAAGCATACTTGTCGTATTTCAAAGATAGTCTTCAATGTGTCCATTTTTTTCTATGGAAGCTGAACTATTTACAGCAGATAAACACTATCTGAAAACCATGAAAATATGAATCTGCCTCTTCAGCTAGGAAATGCTCTTGAGCTATAGTTTTTTTTTTAATGTTAGAGGGTCCTTCAAAAATGTTACCTGATCATTTGAGCTTCCATAGGGGGAATCTGGAATTGAACCAGAGACCTCTTGATCTGCAGTCAAATGCTCTACCACTGAGCTATACCCCCTCAGAGAAACTGCATCTGTTCACTGAAATCTAACCAGTGGATGGGATGCTGTTATGAAGCAATTTTTAAGGAAGGGAAATAGGAGAATTTTTTTGATTGAAAAGGCCAGCAATAGATATGGAGGAGGTCAAAATGCATAAAACACAGTGGAGCTTGTGTCATTCTTTGAAAGCCATGACTGCAATTCAGGCAGTACTGTTCAGGATCTTCTCAAAATTGAAAAAATTATAAACACAGAAAAGCACCATCAGATTTTGATCCACCACGCAATACTATCCAAACTGTCTGATTGGGAACAGCTTCATTTTTCAGCATGTTAATGATCCCCAACGCACTGCCAGTGCAGTAAAGGCATACCTGGATAGAAAAACACACAGTGAATCAATACACACATGTATGTTTAAACTGTCTTAATAAATCACTGGACCTATTTCCTATTTTCCTACCAAAATATTAAGATTTTTTAATAGTCTTGACATAAGTGACCAAATATGAGATTTGGATTTCATTACAGTTTGCCCAGCAGAGGGTGCCAACGGTCACGGACTGTCTCACACACCCCTTATCTTTTTAAAATAAAAACAATCTGAAATTAAACGAACAAAATGAATCTTTCAGTCCACTTCAGGGGCCTCTCTGTGTATGTGTGTGCGTGACTTTCTCCCGTGTCTTTGACATTGGCTGTGTGCTGTATACAGTTTAAGCTACCTGGTTGATTGGCTCGGTGTAAATGGAAGGCGTCTGCAGGATGTGAAGTGGTGGGGGCTGGTGGGCAAAGTGCTGGATCAGTGAAAACCGAGAAGACCTTCATCCAACCCCCCCTGCCTGGACATCTTCAGATAGTGAATGCAAAACGTCTAAAACAGCATCCCAGTCAAACAAAGCTCTTTGAATCTGAACAGCAAACAGAAGTAATGGGACTTCTGGGACTGTGATAATGAAGTAAATTAATATGCTTAGTCCATGTGTAACAGCACAGATTACAGACACTTTCTCCTTCACGTGTCGCTCTAATGAGCCCATTACACCAATTTCATGCTAAGCAAGGAATCCTGCATGAACCCTGAGCTTAAGAGCTTGAGGGGCAACACTTGCTTCGTAAACATTTTTAAATAACTGTGCCAAAAACAAATTGAGCCGCATACGGAAAGGGGAACAGTTCGGTATTAGAGATAGAAACATTATTGGATGAATTTATGAGAATTACTAAAAAAAATGTTCGTCATATATTCAGAAATTCCAAAATAGAAATCCAACATGAAGGCGCAGAAATCCAAGGGGACCGGGCTGTGCGAAAAGTGCAGGTCTTGCATAATTTATTACGAAAGCTGTAATCTATCCAGCCGTGTGTCCGTGCGCGTGGCTTTGTGTACAGTCATTGATCATGCCGTGAATCCAGAAACTAGAGATTTTACAGCGCAGATGCCGTGGGAGCATCGCATCCAAATGAAGCGTTATTACAGCTGAGTTTTCTCGGGCTGTGGAAATGTTTCGACGAGGCGCGGTGCTCTGCCTTTACTTGATGCCTTGTGGCTTTTTCACCCAAGTTGGGCTGTGGTGACCGAGACTGCTGTTATCTGCGGATGTCCCTGACCAATTCGAGCGTCTTTCTGCTGAACGAGGTAGGCTTTCGGTTTTTCCCTCTTCTTTTCTTTACCTTTATGTTGTCGAGGTAACTGAGGAAAATTTGGACTGTTTTTTGTGCTGGAAGGAGTTTGAAACCAACCTGCGTGCAGTGCATTTACAGTACCATGCAGACCTGTAAGGGGGGCGAAGGTAGTAGTAGCAGGTCCTTTCTGGGATGCTGATAATTAAATTAGACACGCTGACCACGCTGGGAATCTTCCGTTTGGAGTGGAAAAGCTTTGACGTGCATGGCACTGTCTGCCAGCTGGAATTAGGGACAGATGAGCTTTGAAATGTTCGTGATAGTCATTTCACCCAAAACAACAAAACTGGTCAGCTGGCGCAACAGATGAACTGCGTGTGTGTTTATAGTCCCACTTTATGGAAAATGAGGTAATAACTGTTTTAATACTGCAGGAAAAACAAAAGCAATTTAGATCATAACCGGTGTCATGCATTTGTGAATGAGTGTGGTAATTAACGATCAGTTAAACTGTGTGGCTGTGTCTTTGCCTCCTTTAGATTCTTCATGCTTGTTTATAATGTGAGAGGACTCCAGTCATTCATCAGAGGATGTGATGTAATGCAGTGCCTAAATCAGAGTGACAACGCTAAGGCCGAATATGATGGCTATCAGTATTTTATTTACTAAGTAACGTGTTTCATGTTGAGGGAGAGAAACACAGGCGAAGTTACTTCTACAGATAATATTGCAAAGCCTGAATTAGTCACAATGTTAATAGATACGAGTGAAATGATTCTCTGTTGATAATCTAATCTGCTTTAGGTGCTTTATAGAAAACACAAAAATCAGATTTCTGCTAAATTATCAATGTAATAATGTTGCATCTGCAGCAATCTGCACTTATTTAGGTTGTTTCATTTTGTGATGTTTTATGCCTAATTTAATCAAAGTTACCATGGTGCTCTGAAAGCTCTTCTTCTCCTGGAGGTTGCATTTCACAAAGACAGATCAATATATACCTGCAGCTATAGTGAGATGATTCACCAAACAATATTAGGAAATCTCACCCAAGGGGTCTGGACTTAAAGGTGACTGAAAAGTCAGGATACATAATTTTGACCATACTGTCAGCCAGCTGGCTGGGAAAGGTCCATCATCTGCTTCATTGTGTGTCTGGAAGCAAACTACTGGAGGTCCGCTCAGTCCCTCTGCAGTACGATGAAGTGCCAAAAGTCTCTCTGTCATCATGCTGAGGACTTTTTGGCACTAATCCCAAAAACTACATTTGCTATGCAAAATGTTCAGCACTCAATGCAAAATCAGATCTTAGATATTGATTCTGTTTTTTTCTATTTGAAAAAAAAAAAAAGCAGCTTACAGCGTTTTTCAATGAATAAAATGGGGGGGGGGGGGGGGGGGGAGTCATTTTTATACATATTTAACTATTACCTTTTCTCTTGTATAGAGAAAACTTTTATTTGGAATAAGGCCCTTTCAAATGTTCATTTGAGAGTGAAGTACTAGAGGTTACAAAAAACAAACTGTAGCTGCATGCACATCTGTGGTATCACAGTAAGCTTCTGAAATCCCTCTTCTTTCTTTCTTTTTTTTAAACTTTTTTTCGTGATTATATCTGAACCACTTTGAACCAACTTCTCAGTGCACTGCTTGTTAACTTCTCATTGAACAGCCTCACCGGAGATTATGTAAGGTACATGTGCGCAGCTCGCCACTGCAAGAAGTACACTGTCTGTGTGAAACACTGCGTGGTGACACTCTCGCTCACTTCAATAACATTCCAGTCTGTTTACCTCCTCCCTCCTCTTGGTGTGCTGGAACACATTCTGTACCTGCTTGTCTGAACCCATCAAGTACTGTATAAACCTCATGAAAGGATTTGGCAGCAAGGAGTCATCTTCCCTCCACTCAAAAATCAAAATGCAGCATCCCCAGTGCCTTAAAATAGCTCCTCATCCATAATGCACCAGCAGCAGCTCTGCCCACAGAGGCGCTTCATATGGGACAGACTGACAGACATCTGCACTCAATGCTTGGGTGCAGCTCCTAAAGCTCCTCTCTTTCTCTCCTCCTTTTCTCCCTTTGTTTAACTTCCAAACATTCATTCATTCATTCATTCATTCATTCATTCATTCATTCGTTCATTCATTCATTCATATTTTTATTCACAGAATGAAAATGGATGCCTCCTCTGTGTCCCTCTTCTGTTTTTTTTCCTCCTCCAGTTTCACTATTTTCTGCAACCTAGCCTATGAATTATGAATCTCAGTCTTGTTGGAGATTGTCTAGCCAACCATGGTCCTCCTTCATGTGTGAGACTACTTGGCTTTGACATATCTGCTGCTTTTTTACATAGATGCAAGGTGCAAGGTGTGGTGAGCACAAATGAATGAACCTGGTTTGTGCAGACCTCCCACATCCCATAAAACACACACACTCACCAGCCGAGCAGCTGTCAGAGTACAGCCATCCATGACGTCTGCAAAACACACTCTGCGAACCACAGGCTACACCGGGGACGCCTCCACGTGTCGAACATCGCCCCCCATATCCCTCTCATCACCATCAGACTTTCTCCCTTCTTTAAACTTTTAGCTTTTGAGATGTTGAAATCCAGAGCGGCTGAAAAATGTGACAGGACTGTAGAAATGCTTGATTTTTTTCCCCCTTGGAGGTTTTGTCTCTGTGCTCTATACAGTTAGCCCTGCAAGAAGGTTCTGCTTGTTGGGCTAATATGTGATTTTAAAGATGTCTGCTTGTGCCCTGTGATAGGTGGGATAGCTGGATAAGCAGATAAGAAAACGTACAGAAGGATGTAGTTACAACACATGGTACATATTTATGTCATCAGTTTTCATCACAACTCTACTGATACAAATTTGGCAGTGATCACCAGATATCTTGGAAGAACTTCACAACAACACTTAATTTTGGAATTACTTGCTCATCGACTATGTACAAGCGTAAATTGGTTTGCCCAAATAATTCTGGCAATGGTATTTTTGTTAAAAACTTGTGAAAATTACAAGAAAATCAGATATGGTATAATTAAATATGACTCCAGCTTTTCCCTTCGAGTGCTTCTGAAGTGTCTAGGGATCCCAGTCATGTTTACCTTGGTTGTTGCTTTAAGGCTCAGTGCCACCCGATGCTGCATCACATTGTCACCTTAAGCATCATGGTGGAGTTCTGAAAGAACCCAGCATGCGCTTTTGGTACAAAGTCCCATCGGACAGGCAAGGTAGAGATGAAGGGTAGACTAAGGAGGAGGAGAGAGGATGCTATGTGGAGCATAGAGAGCCTCACTGACGTAGAGAAGGGTTGTGTACTGAGTGGTGGAGAATAGGAGAGGAGGGGGGCTGTAAAGAAAGAGAGAGGGATAGTCTGCTTACAAGCACGCTACAGTACACTTCAGTGTTACACAAGAGAGAGAGCACACCATGACTGCCTAGCACAGAGAGAGCAAGCAAGAGAGACGGGGAGTGTTGCTCTCCTACCTCTATCTGAGTAAGTATGGCGCTATCTCTTCTACATCAAAATTCCTTGCCTCAAATTGCTCAGACCTCACAGCAGGTCTGATTTTCAGATGATAAAAGATTTTGGCTGACTTTGAAGAGAATGGAAAAATCTTTCCTCATTAAATTTTGATTGAAAGTTTGAAGAGTGGAGTTGTTTGCAGTTGTTAAAGTGGGGGAAGACTGAATTTTGATCTCCATTTGACCGCTGTGAACAGATCTGATGGATATCCAGATTCCTCACCCTCAGCACTCACATTTCACTGGAAATGTTGCACTAAAGCAGAAAATGGCATTTAGTGCAGTTGTGTGAAAGAGGAGCAATGGTGGGAAGCTGTGGGCATGCTCGCAAGCGTTTCTTTCTCTGCTGGTGGGGGGAAGGAGTGCATTTGGGACCGCTAGGCTTCCTGTGTGGGGTCAATTCAATACTGCATGAGACAGAGCACTAAAAGCCTGTCCCGCGAGGAGCCAAGTGCTTTGTGTGTGTGTGTGTGTGCTGGTGCATCAGTGTGCAAAGCCTTGATTAAATTTGATGAACCAGCAATGTTGAGAGGACCACAAAGGTTCCAGTTCCAGCTTCTTTAAGGTCCTCTCCAGAATCTGTGCACCGGTGTTCTCATTGTTATCTTGATAAAAGAAAAGACAATAGCCTACAATGTGCTTTCATGTATCCATAGGACTGGTTTAATCTAGAAAATCCATCTGTATCCATCTAATTCGCTTTTATTAACTGACATCTTTCCTCGCCTACACCGTGTAGTCACTGAATAGTTTTGAGACTTAAACGTGAGCGAAAACACTTTTTTTCAATGTAAAGCTGGATTGCGTGAGTATGTAGGCCACCATTACATATTGATAAGTCTGAAATCCCCCCCAGTTAGCTCGGTGCACTAAACAAGACACACCAATTAGGCCCAACTCAAATCTAAAGCCTAAATCAGGTCATCTTTTAACAAACACATCTGACTTAATGAAGGATGCAGTTCTGTTTAATTCTGCACTGCACCGTCGGTACACAGCTTTATGTGGGTTAGCTCCAGCCTCTCTGCGCTTTGAAGCAGTTTGGTGAAGTCAGGTTGAGGGATCCCCGGGGGGATGAAAGTCTAACGATGCACAGTGTAGCCGGCAAGGCCAAGTTGTCAGCATGGATGAAAGATATTCCTGGCTACGCTCGTTGCGTCTTCTTCTACTGTATGCCAGCGTCACTGACAACCCATCCATAACTAGTCACATATTTACATCGTCAGTGTTGTATTCGCAGCACTTATCTGTGCAGCTGACAAATGCAAGGTGTATTCACTCCTTAGGTCTCCTTAAAGAGTGGAGTTGGTGTTGAGAGAACAGCTGTTTATCAGTGTGTCCTCATAGGCTGCAGGGTTTTCCAGAGGCTCATTAAAGACTGGGATAAAGTATTCTGGGGTAACATTAGAGCAGGAGGAGGGTGGAGCTGCAAAGGACAGTATGGAGTATCAATCTGTGTGCCTCTCATATTGATCCA